TAAAGGACTTCATCTAGGAGATCTTGGGAGCTGTTGTTTTTGCGCATGTGATGTGTAGTCATTTAGCTTTTTGGGGTTTTTAAGTCTTTTATGCTGTTTTTTGAGTGGGGTTTATGAGTGATAGTCACTCCTTGGTCTGTCAGGGTTGTAGTGTCCAAATTTCGTGTCAATTCGTCCAGTGGTTTTTGAGTTATGTTAATCCCACAAACGAACATTACACATACACACACACACACACACACACACACACACCTGCCACATGTTACTATGGCCCAGTTTGTGTATATGTGTTTTGTGTGTGTATATATGTGTGTGTATATTTTTTGTATATGTGTGGTTATGCATAAATACACATGTGGTTATGCCGGAGCCCCCGGTGGCACAGTGGGTTAAACTGCTGAGCTGCTAAACTTGCTGACCGAAAGGTCGCAGGTTCAAATAAGAGGAGCTGCATGAGCTCCCGCTGTCAGCCTCTAGCAATTCGAAAACATGCAAATGTGAATAGATCAATAGGTACCTCACCGGTGGGAAAGTAACAGTGCTCCATGCAGTCGTGCCAGCCATGGAGGTGTCTATGGACAACGCTGGCTCTTCGGCTTAGAAATGGAGATGAGCACCAACCCCCAGAGTCGGACACGACTGGACTTAATGTCAGGGGAACAACGTGGTTATGTGTATGTTTTGTTTTTGATTTTTTTAAAGTCTCTTCTGCTGTGTTTTTCAGTGTTTTTATGAGTGATGGTCACTCATTGACCTGATAGGTGTAATGTGGCCAAATTTGGGGTCAATTTGCTCAGTGGTTTTTGAGTTATGTTAGTCCCAAAAATGAACATTACATTTTTATTTATATAGATTGAGAAAAGAGCCTGAATGGTTATAAATGTAATTATGAAAATGAGAGTTTATAGAATATTTTTTAAAATTTTGAGCTTTACAGTAGACATTGGTGAGTGACTGGGATGTTTCAGGTAGAGCAAAAAGGTCCCAACATTAAGGTGAAGACATTGCCTGAACCAAATCCAAAATTACATGGCTGATCAACAAAACCTTTGTTTGTTATTTTGTTTTTCTGGAAATTTAAGATTGCGATCATATGGCTTACCAATGAGACTCGTGTTGGTATTCTATGCAGTCTAGGGATTTATTGACACTAAAACAGTTCCGCTGTTATGGCAGTGGGTAGACTCCCTTTCTGGGCAGTATCAGGGATGACTATAGAGTGGGTCATTGGTATCTGCTGAATTTGACTCCAAGATTCCCATACCCATTTGGATATGAAAGCTGTGAATACTCAAGTCCCACCATTTATTTCGTATCAAAAGCACTGCATAAATTAGTATAAAACCGATAAAAATAGAAGGAGKGTGGGTGGGATGCAAGAGGAGTGGTAGTTCTCATAAAGCTTTTCCTTGATTTGAGTCTACTGGGAGGAGGCTGGTAGCCATGTAGTGGATGGCTTTCACAGTGTTCAACCATAGCAACTTCCTGCCGCACAACGGGGCGGTGGGGGGGGGGGCAGTGCCAGCTAGCTTGCAGAGTTTATCAACAGGTGTAGGTTTAAGACATCCTGTGATTATTCTGCATGTTTCATTCAATGCCATGTTCACCTGCTTTCTATGCCAAATAGGCAGGCATACTCAGCAGTTSAGTAAGACAATGCTAGGGCTGATGTTCTTACTAATTTTGTGTCTGCACCCCATGTGCTGCTAGTAAGTTTCCGCAGGATGTTATTGCGTGCAGCTACTTTGTGCTTGGTGTTCAAGCAGTGTTTCCTATATGCTAGTGTTCAGTCTAAGGTGACACCGAGATATTTAGGATGGAAACAATGTTTAAGCTCTTGACCTTCCCAGGTGACTTTCAATTTCCTGCTGGCTTCACGATTGCGAAGATGGAAAGCACACACTTGTGTCTTGGCAGAGTTAGGCTTCAGGTGGTTATCGTTGCAGTAGCTAGAGGGATCTTTCAAGGAATTAGTAAATTGGATTTCAACTGTTTCAAAGTAATTTGCTTGTGTTGTTAGGCCAAGGTCATCAGCATATATAAAGCTCTTTGTGAGATACCATGGAGGAAAACTAAGATAATTGCCATTTTAAAACCTGGTAAAGACGCCTCCAATGCCAGGAACTACCAGCCTATCTCACTCCTATGTCATCTATATAAAGTATATGAGAGGATACTACTAAATCGATTAGGACCTGTTATTGAACCCCAGCTTATTGCGCAACAAGCAGGTTTCAGACCAGGGAAAAACTGTACAGCCCAAATTCTTAGTCTTACTGAGCACATCGAGGAAGGATATGAGAAAGGTTGCATTACTTGAACAGTTTTTGTCAACCATATAGCAGCCTATGACACAGTGCAACATAGGAAAATGCTGCAGAAAGTCTACTATATTACCAGAAACTGATTTTACAAAAACTATCCAGACTCTCCTAGAAAACCCTAGCTTCTATGTGGAGTCCCACCATCTGCAAAGGTATAATGAAATGATGTCCCTAATATAAAGTGGTGAAATCAAGATTTTCCCTTTTGGATGAAATATTTTGAAGCTGGGGACGGTTGAATCTGTGGATATGGGTGGCCAACTCTAATTCCAATCACAACACTCATAGCTTCAAATCTCTTAAAGATTCCTCCCTCTGTGATATTTTGTGAGTGTCCTGGCAGGAAGGTGTGGGGCTGAAAGAAGGGTTTCTTTCAGCCCCATGCCTTCCTGCCAGGATCCTCATTTGAGTATAAGCTCAGGGGGGCTTTTTCAGCCTTAAAGGGGAGGGGGCAGAAAAACTAGGCTTATACTCGAGTATATCCAGTATATGGCACAATATCACCACAATTCTGGAGAGGGAAACAATCATAAAGACCTGTGCCGTTACTAAAATATACTTGAAAGGTTTTACTCCAAACTGTGTTAGCATTTGCTATCTATCTTTCATCTCTGCTTGTTTCAGAACATGCAGAGTTAATCCTATTTAAAGAAATGTTGACATTTCTGTTGGTCACAGCTGGATAAGTCATGATTAGAAAACAAACACTGTGAAGAGGGATGCAAATATATCATTGGTATAAGTACCTAAAGGCATTGACATTAGCTGAAAAATTGAGGAAACTTGTCAGAGTTTCATGATCATACAGTCAATATTTATTTATTTATTTATTTATTTCGGGTGTTTGTACCCCACCCTTCTCACCCCCCCCCCCTTGGGGGGAACACGACAACTCAGGGCAGCTTCCAGCTGGCACATATCTGATGCCTACAAGCAACACAGCAAAACACACATCAAAAACAATAATTAGAAATAGTTAAAAACATTAGATTAATACCATAAAGTCTACTAAAAAGAAAGCCAGTCTGGTAGCCATTGTTCTGTCGAGTTCTGTAATTGAAGCTCCATTAAACTTGTCCATAAACGGTTTCCATAGCCATTTTCGTCATTGTCGTCATCAGGTTTTCAAGCTTACCCAAAGGCCTGGTCCCACATCCACATTTTTAATTTCCTTCTAAAGGAGAGGCGGGATGAAGATGACCTAATTTCCCCGGGGAGTGAATTCCACAGGCGATGTAGATGACTATTGTACAATAGCACTGCTTTGTAGTCACATTAAAAAGAAAGACAATAATATCACATTACTAATGTTATATGGCTCATGGATGTATCTTGATGAGCCCCTCTATCTACTTAACATACTATTACACAAGACTCTCAGTTTTGAGCAATGTTCTTAATTGTATGCTGTAATGAATCCCTTACCTTAGCAGGATGCTTGAAGCCTAAAGGGAGTGGGCCTGGCAAAGCCACGGCATTCATTTTGGAGAAGCGAGACAGGGAGAAGCCATTTTGGTTGAGTTTGCCTTGAGGCGTGTTCAAGTCTTAGAGGGAAAATAGGAGACTAGGATTGGCTAGAAAGATGGGGACGGAGCCTAAGTGGTCTAGAGGAAAAAAGGGTCTTTTAAACTGAGGCTTGAAGTCCCAGTTGAGTCAGTTGGAGTTTAGAACTGTTAAAGAGAAGAAAGATTGGTGTTAGTAAGAGCGAGTTTGGGTTTTGAGAAGAAGATTGGGTTAGTCTTTTGTGAAGTATTCAGAGTAGCTATTGAGTAAATAGCTAGAATACTGTGGAGGAGCAGTACCCCGTTAGTGGACTGCTCAATTCCTAGGGAAGTCTAGTTCAAGGTATTTTTGACTAGATTCCTGAGGGGAAGTTTTGGGAGTTACTTTCAGAGATTCATTTCCTGAAGTAATTTTCTGTGGTGGAACTTTGAAGACTCGTAACCCAGAAGTTTTTAAGATTTTGACTCTAACACAACCACAAGCTTTTTATACCAGTATTTTACTGAAACCATGCAGCATTTGTACCTGAATATTTCAAGCCTGTTCAATAAACATTCTAGTTCTTTTATTCAACTTATACCTGCCTCAGTGTGAATACCTTTGTGGTCAAAACATTATTAAAGTCAGCTTCACAGCAGCTTCTAAGAAACTATAGTGGCACAGTGTTTGTTACAGAACAAACTCTCAATATTTACCTTAGCCTGATTAATATTGAAATGATGGCAGTGGAATTCATTTGAAGAAGTATTTTAAGTGTCTCAGTTCCAGTGGTTCCCAGTTCCTAACTCTTATATATACAGTGGGGTTCAGCAACCATACTCCCTCATCCTTTGTGTTAGCGTTATAATTTAGGTTGAGCAGCGTTGGGATTATTTTGTATTTTTCCCCATCAACAAATTAAATTAAAATCTTTACTACTACATCACAATAACATATGCATCATATATGCATATGTTATTGTTCTAGTTGTCTGTGCCAAAGTCTTATGAGCGCAATAGTACCTTCCTCTTTGTGTTCTCCTGCAGTTTATAAGAGTGGTAGCATACAGTTAGTATGGTTTTAGATAGTAGCCATTGCTAGTCTTATCACCCATGACATTTCTCTCATTTATGATTTATACTTACCAACACTTTCTCCGTTTTCTGTTTTCTTTTTCTTTTTTGTCTTGTCTAGAATCCTACGCAAGTAGGTACAGCCCTTCAAGTTTTCTATAACCTTGGTACTTTGAAAGTCACAATTACGAATGTTGTGGATGGATATTGCGCAACTTTGGAGGAGAACATCAGCAATGCCTTGGATATTAAAATTTTGACTCAACCCTCTCAAACAGTGGCTAGAGGTACTATGCTTTTTATGGGGGAGGAAGGTGGTATTAATGTTTTTATTGGAGAAAACTGTGCCTTTTGATGTGTCATTTGACAAGTTCCCCCATAAATGGGATATCGCACCGTTCTACATGTTCTATTAGTCTTCACCATACTTGACTGTTTGCTAACTTGTTTTCTTTTTATGTGATGATACTGCAAGCTGTAAAGCAAAAAAGTCACATTGAGGTAAATAGATCGGCCCATTTCCAAGTCATTTTAAAGCCTAGTATTTCCAGTATGGTACTATCTTTCTGTTTAGGCTTCAAACCATGTCAACAGCTGGTGTAGCTTAATGCATAATATTTACACAAACATAAGTCCCACTATTTAGCAGCACAGATTTTAAAAGTGCAATATCATTTTGAGCCTGTGTTTTGACTTGTGCATCTCATTCTATCAATGCATTGTGGAGGCATGCTTATAATCTTGCCTCCCTTAAAATCACATAAAATCTTCATGAGGGAAACGGGAAATATTTTCTTCCTTGGGCGCTGTACTATAGGGATTTGGGGCCCTTTCTGTGAAAGTATTTAAATGCAATATAATATTGAATTATTGATGGATTTGGGGACACAATTCTTCTAACATTCTGGAGGCAGTCCAGGAGTTATCCAACTTACTTAACTCTCACTGAAAATGGAAGTGCTTAAGTTCTTTGAAGATGCTGACGAGAGTGACTTACTCAAGAGTGATGTCTAAAAAGGAAGTATTCCACCCCACTGCTATCCCCCTTCCTTCAAATAATGCAGGATGTACATAGGAATTACCCCTGGGGTCCTCAAACTAAGAGCCCCGGGGCCGGATACGGCCCACCAAGGTCATTTACCCGGCCCTCGCTCAGGGTCAATCTAAGTCTGAAACAACCTGAAAGCACATAACAACAACAACCCTATCTCATCATCGGAAAGCAGGCCCACACTTCCCATTGAAATGCTAATAAGATTATATTTGTAAAAAAAAAATCTTCATTTTAATTATTGTATTGTTTCTAAGTATTTTTTGCATTACAAATAAGATATGTTCAATGTGCATAGGAATTCATTCATGTGTTTTGTTTTGTTTTCCAAATTATAATCTGGCCCTCCAACAGTTTGAGGAACTGTTGCCTGGCTCTCTATTTAAAAAGTTTGAGGACCCCTCAAATAGCCTGTTTTAACTTCAGAGTGTCCTTAGGAGACAGAAATAGAGAGCCCCATTCATTCGTTCTTATACTTCTGCTCTTTGGAGTGGGGCAGAATGTGTTTTCCAGCCTCATTGCCTAACCAGTGTTTTGTACACACAGGATCCAAGGGTCTGCAATGAGTCCTCTGCCTTATTATTATTCTCTCGCTATGTTTTAGAACCCAGTAGCTCCTCCTGTACATTTTCTTTAGAAAATGGAAATGATGGCTTAACAGGATGGGAGGAAAAAGATCATCATAATATCATAATAATCCACTGAGGTTAATGATTTGCCCAAGACTATCCAATTATTATTATTATTATTATTATTATTATTATTATTATTATCTTTATTTGTACCCCGCTAGCATCTCCCGAAGGACTCGATGCAGCTTACAAAGGCCAAGGCCTCAAAAACACAACATAACAATACGAAACCTAAAGCAAATTAAAAACAATTAAAGCAATATTAAACAACAAGCAATAAAACAATACACCAAGACACAATAAAACTGGGCCGGGCCAGAGTAACGGGTACAGAATTAAAAGTGCTGATGTGGAAGGTGATATGTAAGGATTATAGGGTAAGTGCAGTGTGCAGTGTGCAGCGATCTTAATTCTAATAAAGTGCTACTGGGACTTGTTATTGGAGTTTTCCTATTCTGGAAAGGCACATCGGAACAGCCAGGTCTTCAAGTTCTTTCTAAAGACTGCCAATGTAGGGGCCTGTCTAAGATCTTTGGGGAGGGTGTTCCAGAGTCCACAGAGTTCCAGAGTTCCACAGAAAAGGCCCTGTCTCGCGTCCCCACCAGACGCACCTGCGACGCAGGCAGAATCACGAGCAGGGCCACTCCGGATGAACGAAGTGTGCGCGTGGGTTCATAAACGGAGATTTGGTCACGCAGGTAGGATGAGCTGTGCTGCTGCCTGGGGGTTAAACCCAGGTCTCCTTGGTGCAAATTCAACATTTTGGTCACGTTGGGCCCTTCTGCACAGCCATATAACCCACAATATCAAGGCAGATAATCCACTATATCTACTTTGAACTGGATTATCTGAGTCCACAATGCCATATAATCCAGTTCAATGTGGATTTTATACAGCTGTGTGGAAGGGGCCTTTATCTTGTTGAACTGAGGCTTCTTTGTTTCCCTTCCTACTTTGTACTGGTTTTATTTATTTTATTTTATTTTATTTTAAACATTTATATTCTGCCCTTCTCACCCCAAAGGGGACTCGGGGCGGAGCACAGGAGAAGAATTCATGTAAGCGTGCATAAACATTAAAAACATTTATCAAAATATTAAAATACACTGTTTAAAACCGTCATTGGTCATCTGTGTCAAATCTAAATAGGCCTGGTAAAGTTTCCTATCACTGCCTTATTGCCCTGTCCCAAAAGCTTGGTCCCACAGCCAAGTTTTGACCATCCTTCTGAAGGACAGGAGGGAGGGGGCAGATCTGATCTCACCAGGAAGGGAGTTCCATAGGCGGGGGGCAATCACCGGAAAGGCCCTGTCTCTCGTCCCCACCAGTTGCGCCTGTGCCAATGACGGGATGGAGAGCAGGGCCTCCCCAGAGGATATTAATGGCAATATTGTGTTCTTTGTAGTTGCTAATTAATATCTGGAAGGCCACAAGCTGGTCACTGATTACTTTAAAATACTCTACTTTTATATATTTAAATGTATAAGTCAGAAGCATAAAACTAATTGTAGTTCAACGCCTATGGCAAGAACTTAAGCACTTAAGGCATTCTCAGAGTGAGTTGAGCAAGCTTGATAATTCCTCGATAATCATAGTGTAGGTATGGGCGTTAAAAACACATTATTCTTTAAATACTTTTAGGTGGTCCTGGGCGAGCAACTATGCCAACACCAGGAAATACTGCAGCCTTTAGAGCAGCTCTGTGGACTAACATGGAAAAACTGATGGATCAAATCTGTGCTGCTTGTGGACAGGTATTTGATAATTTTAATGTCATTTTTGATTGACACTTCTCTCAAGTTTACTAAAAATGTATCATTAAGTCAGACTTGAAACAACGTTTTCCCTTTTCTCTACAGGTGCAACATCTGCAGAAAGTATTGTCTAAGAAAAGAGATCCAGTTACTCACGTGTGCTTCATTGATGAATTAGCAAAGGTAATGCTTCCTCCCCTTCCTTATAGCAAAATGCAACTAAAAGTTGAGGGGGGGGGATCTGTTTAAGAATTCAATATATCCATTGCATAATGAAAGTAATAACATAATGGTGAGAGCCATTTACATAATAGAAGTAGTTATTAATTACTGAAAACTGATAGAATATTCACCTGGACGTCACAAGAATTTCAATGTGCAGAGTTGACAAATACGAATTTAATATGTTGTGTGGGAATGAATGGAAGAATGGAAGGATATATGGATGTATTTTGGAAACACCAGTATAATATTAAGGTCTGCAATGACTGACTACCTGCTTGCTGGAACTGTGATCAAATGAGAATTGATAAGAACGGTGACAATGGTTCTTTCCAGTTAAGGAAATGTTTGCAACATTCCTTATGTTAAGAAGGAAGTCAACATAAGATCAACGCCAATCAAGAAGATCAACATCTGGCCAGGAAACTCAGATGGAGCCAGGATGGAAGTCGTCTATTATTAATTTACAACTTTGGGACTACATCAACAGAATATTCCTAGAAAAGACTCAGTCTAATAATGCTCAAAGTGTGACTGACCTGCATTCAAACACTAGAGCAGGGGTCCCCAAACTACGGCCCGCGGGCCACTTCCGGCCCGCCAAGGGCACCTATCCGGCCCGCGGGGGAGGAGCGCCCCCCCCCACACAGCCCCCCTCCCTTGGCAGGCTCACGTTGCCCATCGGGGGCGATGCGCAGCGTGAGCCAGCCAAGGGAGGCTGCTCCGCGGGGGTCTACTCGCGTGTAAAGCACCTCGCGAGGTGTTTACGCGCGAGTACGCGGTGCGGTGCTGCTCCTCCCTTGGCAGGCTCAGGCTGCCCATCAGGGCCAATGCGCAGTGTGAGCCAGCCAAGGGAGGCTGCTCCGCGGGGTCTACTCGCGTGTAAAGCACCTCGCGAGATGCTTTACGTGTGAGCGCGCGGTGCTGCTCCATGCAGCCATGCCGGCCACAGTATCTGCTTTGAACTGGGTTATCCACACTGCCATATATTCCAGTTCAAAGCAGATATTGTGGGTTTTTTTTTTTTGCCTTGATATTCTGGATAGAGGGCTGTTTGGAAGGGTCCCCAGAATATCAAGGAAGAAACCCCACAATATCTGCTTTGAACTGGGTTATCTGAATCCACACTGCCATATATTCCAGTTCAAAGCAGATATTGTGGGGGTTTTTTTGCCTTGATATTCTGAGATAGAGGGCTGTGTGGAAGGGTCCCCAGAATATCAAGGAAGAAAACCCCACAATATCTGCTTTGAACTGGGTTATCTGAATCCACACTGCCATATATTCCAGTTCAAAGCAGATATTGTGGGGTTTTTTTTTTTGCCTTGATATTCTGAGATAGAGGGCTGTTTGGAAGGGTCCCCAGAATATCAAGGAAGAAAAACCCACAATATCTGCTTTGAACTGGGTTATCTGAATCCACACTGCCATATATTCCAGTTCAAAGCAGATAGTGGATGTGCCTTGATATTCTGAGATAGAGGGCTGTTTGGAAGGGTCCCCAGAATATCAAGGAAGAAAAACCCACAATATCTGCTTTGAACTGGGTTATCTGAATCCACACTGCCATATATTCCAGTTCAAAGCAGATATTGTGGGGTTTTTTTGCCTTGATATTCTGAGATAGAGGGCTGTTTGGAAGGGTCCCCAGAATATCAAGGAAGAAAACCCCACAATATCTGCTTTGAACTGGGATATATGGCAGTGTGGATTCAGATAACCCAGTTCAAAGCAGATTTTATGTGGGATTTTATTCAGTTGCGTGGAGGGGCTCTGAGTTGCAAAAAGCTGAACTTTTTGAAGACTGCTAACATGTATTGGAGCACCCGGTGGCACAGTGGGTTAAACCACTGAGCTACTAAACTTGTTGACCAAAAGGTTGCAGGTTCGAATCTGGGGAGCAGCATAAGCTTCCGATGTCAGCCCCAGCTTCTGCCAACCTAGCAGTTCAAAAACATGCAAATGTGAGTAGATCAATAGGTACCGCTCCGGCGGGAAGGTAACGGTGCTCCATGCTGGCCACATGACCTTGGAGGTGTCTACGGACAACGGCGGCTCTTCAACTTAGAAATGAAGATGAGCACCACCCCCCAGAGTTGGACACGATTGGACTTCATGTCAGAGGAAAACCTTTAACTAGGAAATTGTGGAAGATCCAGGGTGGGAGAAAGAACTCTTGTCTGTTGGAGGTAGGTATGAATGTTTCAATTGGCCACCTTGATTACCATTTCATAGCCTGACAGTTTTTAGGGAGAATCCTTTGTTGAGAGGTGATTAGCTGGCCCTGATTGTTTCTTGTCTGGAGTTCCCCTGTGTTTGAGTGTTGTTCTTTATTTACAGTTATAATTTTAGAGTTTTTTTTAATACTGGTAGCCAGATTTTGTTCAGACTAGAAATAGGACGATTTCCCATTCTCTGCTCCTGGAATTATTGCCTAAAGAGGGCTAGAAAGAACCCCCTCTTAGGGCCTTTCCACACAGCAAAATAAGATATGTGCCATGTGCATAGGAATATTTTATTGATTTTTTTAAATAAAAAAACTATAGTCCGGCCCTCCAACGGTCTGAGGGACAGTGAACTGGCCCCCGGTTTAAAAAGTTTGAGGACCCCTGCTATGCTCTGCTCCATGGGAAGGAGAGAGATAATATACCTATGGATAGTGGCAGATTTGCACGGGAGCAGTCTGGTCACTTTGGGGCTTCTTTCTCAAGGGAAGAGGAAGAAGTGCGCTTTTGGAGTCTTAGATTTTGTGCAGGGAGTCAAGTTCTGCTGTATGGAAAACAGAGATCTGGTCCTTGGCATTGTTCTTAGGGAAGAAGTTTTGGCATTTCAGCGTTTTGAAGTTTTGGTGTTATGGAAGTTATGGAACTATGCATTGGCAGGCTGCAGGGAAAGCAGGGTCTGGCCTAACAGGTGCTTCTCCAAGGAGGGAGAAAATGATATGGTAATATTTGGATGCATGTGGATGAATGCATGTACATGTGTGTGAATGTTGAGAGAAAATGTAATTCCCCTTTGTTTGTTTGTTAACCAATGTAATTGTAAATCCAGTGTAGTTGCCTAGAATCTGTATGTCTATATGTCTAATGTCATTCTTTGTCTAAATATTTTTCTATAATCTGATATAACCTCTCACACTGGAAATTGCAATAAAAAGAACCTATGCTTCAAAGTTATTGAAAAGTCAGTCATGACATGGATGGCAAGAGCAATTTACAAGTAGTATATTGAGTCGCCTGTCAAGGGCTGAAAAAAACGCGGTATAGAAATAAAGCAAATAAATATATATCTGGAACACCTTCAGACTAGACCTCTAGCTGCTTTGTTGAAATGTTAATATGCCAATATAATTTTGTTTAGACTATGGATCAATTGTGTTAACAGTGCAGATGTACCTGAGTTGACCCAGTTCCAATCAAATAACAAGTATATACAGGGCAACAGGGGATGTATTATTGACTGGTGATGTATTCAGATTTGGTCTTCTCCCCTTTTTATTTGGGTTGAAACTAATGTGAGGTTGCCTCTCATGAGACAAAGGTCTATTTCCTCTACAACAGCAGACTCTTCCTGAAGATTTTTTTTGTCGTGTCAGGAGCAATCTGAGAAACTGCAAGTTGCTGCTGGTGTGAGAGAATTGGCTGTCTGCAAGGACGTTGCCCAGGGGATGCCCGGATGATTTTGACGTTTTATCACCCTTGTGGGAGGCTTCTCTCATGTCCCCGCATGAGGAGCTGGAGCTAATAGAGGGAGCTTATCCGCTTCTCCCTGGATTCGAACCTGCGACCTGTCGGTCTTCAGTTCTGCCGGCACAGGGCTTTAACCCACTGTGCCACCAGGGGCTCCATTCCTGAAGATGAAGAATCCTTGCAAATTCTTCAAACTACAGGAAAGGAGATTTCACCTGAACATTAGGAAGAATTTCCTAACTGTGAGAGCTGTTCAGCAGTGGAACTCATTGCCCCAGAGTGTGGTGGAGGCTCCTTCTTTGGAGACTTTTAAACAGAGACTGGATTGCCATCTGTCGGGGGTGCTTTGAATGCAATTTTCCTGCTTCTTGGCAGGGGATTGGACTGGATGGCTCACAAGTTCTCTTCCAGTTCTATGATTCTATGAAATTAAATTCTAGAAATGTAAGCAATTGCTTCCTAGGAAGAATCAGCAAGTCTTTAGACATGAGCTCAAACCTTTTATAGTCGCACATTGCAGGCTTTTGAGTCCAAGCCAGTGTGCTTAATGTCCCTTTTTGTTTGTTCATTCAGAAGAACAATCAAACTTTGTAAACTATAATTCTTGCATTTTCCTGTAAATGAAATGAATTGCATCAATGAATTGACTAAAATAATGTAGTTGTCACATACCATGTAGCATGATTTTGCCAATTTGGGACATTTTTAAAAACAATTATGAAGTTTCTTTGTCTACTGTAGATCTGATATGAGGATCTGTATATTTCTATTTTTTTTTTTAATATAAGATACTAGCGGTCCCCTGCCACGCATTGCTGTGGCCCAGTATGGTGATCTGGAAAATAAAGTAATTAGAAAGTGTTGGTTTCTAATATATGTAATGTCTTTATGCTTCCGGGTAAACAGTATTTCTTGCAGTTTCTTTGCCAGTGTTGATGTGGATATTGTCTACTTTGCCTACTCTGGAACATGCAACATATCATTGTCCTTCTTTACAGCCCCTTTCAAATCTTTGATACTGCATCTGTCATATACATATATGTGTGTGTGTGAATGGCTGGATGGCTCTTTGTCAGGAGGGCTTTGATTATGTTTTCTTGCCCTGGTGAAGGGAGTTGGACTGGATGGCCTTAAGGCAGCATTTCTCAACTTGGGAAGTCAAGACCCCGGGGGGGGGGTCACCAGGGGGGTGTCAGAAAGGTCACCAAAGACCACCAGAAAACACAGTATTTTCTGTTGGTCATGAGGGTTCTGTGTGGGAAGTTTACCCCA